TTTGAAGTGGACTTTGAGCTTTGTAACTTTGCAGATCTTTTTTATGCTCAAACAGCAACATTACAGACTAACTAAAGTTGAAAAAGTGAAAAGCATAATAGGACCCCTTTAATATGTCATTTTCTGTGATGGCAAAGCTGAATTTCCCATTACTCCAGGCTTCAGTGTCACATGATCCTTCAGAAATCATTCTTTTAGATGCTGATTCGCTCAAGAAATATTTCTTATCATTATCAATGTTGTGCAGCTTAATATATTTGTGTAAACCATAATACACAAATATATTTGTGTATTATATTTGTGTATTCTCCTGTTGTTGTTAACTCACAACAACAGGAGCGAGGCACTAAATGAACTGTACCAGCACATCAGTGAGCAGCAGACAGCCCACCCTGATGCAATTGACAATAAAGCAGACTTGACTTGACTTGACTGAATACATACATTTTTGATTAATTCTATGTTGAATAGAAAGCTCAAAAGAGCAGCATTTAATTGAAATACACATTTTTTGTAACATTATAAAAGTCTTATGCTTGCTAAATAAAAGCTTTTTGTAATCTTAGCTTCTTAAACACTTTTAAACAGTAGTGTATACGTAAATAAATCATGAAACAATTCATATTAAATGACTTATAATAATGATACTCACTTTAAAAGGCGCATGTTGTAAACCCGTCTCATTTGTACACACCTCAGGCTCTGTTGAACCAGTCAGCGGCTCTGCTGTCTCAGTCCTGCCGCAGCGGCTGGAGTGTGGAGAGGGTGAGGACGCTGTCTATACCTGCTGGGCTGCTGAAGATTCCCGTGTTCCTGGAGAACGGCACAGGAGACTGGGCACTGCCTCCTCCTCTGGGTCTGCAGGGCAGTGAGGAGATGCTGGCTCAGGCCCTGAAAGCCCTGCCTTATACTGCTGTACCCACTGGCCCAGAGACCTGCAGGAGATGTGTGGTGGTTGGAAGCGGTGGCATTTTACACGGCAAAAATCTTGGACCTCATATAGACCAGTACAACATTATCATCAGGTTAGTTGATTAACAAACATATATGGGTGTCAAAAATACAGTAAAAAAATAATATTGTGAATTTGTTTTTTACAAGTCTTCAGCGTCACATGATCATTCAGAAATCATTCTAATATGCAAGGAATTATGCATATTAACTCACTCTAATTATGAAGATATGAATATTTTACTCTTCATACCTACAGAGTGAACAATGCTCCAGTATTTGGATATGAAAAAGATGCTGGATCTAGAACTACCATTCGGCTCATTTATCCAGAAGGGGCTCCTTCTCAGCCACAAGAATATGAGAGTACTGAAGTGGTGGCTTTGGTGGCATTCAAGAGTTTAGATTTAGCATGGCTCATCTCTGTAGTAACCAAAGAGCCTTTGGTGAGTAACGCAGAAGGTTTTTGGGAAGGATATTCTCATTCTAGAGAGTATTTTGTTGGACAAAAAAACGAATGAAAAAATGTTGTGGTCTGTGTTCGTGAAACAGAGGGACTGTAAAGTTGAAATGCTTTTGTCATCTTTTGGGAGTGCACTAGTATCTAGATTACCTTAAAGTTAACACAAATGGCCAATGGTACCATTTTTTAATTTCTAAAATGTTCTGTCTGTAGAGTTGGTGGTCTAAATTGTGGTTCTGGAAGAATGTAATAGACTCGATACCTCTTCAACCAGAAAATGTCCGCATCCTAAATCCTGAAATCATGTACAGGACTGGACAGGTGCTGCAAACCTACGCAGAGCAACAGAAAAAGGTCAGAACTGAGATAACTTTTCAAATGTGCAAATTCAAACTATAGGTTACTAAATAGATAATGTTTCTTCTAAACATATATACACACTACCATTCAAATGTTTGGGGTCAGATGATCCTCTTATGTGCAAAGCAGAATTTATTTGATCAATATACAGTGAAAACTGTGTAACACTTTTTTCTAGTTCAACATATTTTAAAATGTAACTTACTCCTGTGATGCATAGTTGAATTGACAGAAACTGTTGCTTAACATTCTTAAAGAAACTGTAATACATTTTCCAGGATTCTTTGCCAAGTAGAAAGTTCAAAAGAACAGCATTTATTTGAAACAGATATATTTTGCAATATTATAAACTCTTTCCTGTCTTTACTGTTGATTAATAGAAACATAACAAATTTTTCTGAAATATATACATGCATGTGTGTATTTATATATACATAATATACACAGCAAACATACATATATTATGTAAACAACAACTTTTACTTTGGATGCAATTAATCACAATTAATCATTTGACAGCACTACTTGCACGCTTCCTTAGATTTCTTCTAAATCTTCTGCTGAGAGCATTGTCAGTTGAAGTCAGTTTTATGTTTTGTTTGTTAGATGGTGCCGACGCTGGGTATAACGGCAGCAGTTCTGGCCCTGCAGGTGTGTGACGAGGTGAGTTTAGCTGGATTTGGATACGACCTGCTGCACCCTGGAGCTCTGCTGCATTATTACGGCTCTATCCGCATGGATGCCATGAACACACAGGTGGTTCACGATGTCAGCGCTGAGACCATTTTACTGCGGGAGCTGGTCAAATCTGGAGCGGTGCGAGACCTCACTGGTGCACTGTGACAACTGCAGAAACTTTCCATGTTTCTAAAAGTTAAGAGAGATGACAAACAGCAGAAAACAGTCCAGAGACCTGGACTTAAGCAGGCAACCTTCAATGTCACAAGACGATAGGATCAGTCTCATCATTTCTATGTATAATTTCAACATTTTTCAAAACTGCAATTTTTGGGTAAAATACAGCATAGACAATACCCAATAACATACAGTAATATACAAAGGCATTTAAAACAAGTGAAAATTACTACTAAAATTAAAACCAAAGCTACTATACAGCTTAATAAAGGATGACAAAAGATTTTATCCTAATAAATTATTATTTACTATTTATTTTTCTTGGAAAACTGATTGCATAGTGTGTAAAAACTTTTTATCAGAACATTATGTATAAATACAAGCAATATTATAGCAAAATATAAATGACATATTCCTGTTAGTAATAACAATCAGTTCTGTGAAATATCACATATTTTAAAAAAATGCAGAAGGTAAAAAAAAAACAAATGTACTTTCATTATCAATATATTTTGTCTTTAAGTTAATCGCCAAACTAAGATTTAAATACAACAAATTTTGTTCTCTTTCTGTAACAAAATTCATGATCAAAAATTATAGCTACAAAAAAGTGCTGACATACTGGAAGGAGAAAAATCGCAATGAAATCGATATTTTTTGACTGCTGCATAAATAAATTACAATTCTTTCCTTGAATCAAGTGTACGTAATTATTATTATTTTTTTTTTTTACTTTGAAAGTTTCAAAATGATTCTGATGGTACACCGACTTCTAATGAAGAGGCAAATGGCTTTTTTATTATTATTATTATTCCTACGCTCCTTTGTTGAGCAGGTACGAAATTCTGAGAAAGGCGGATTGCTTTATGGCACCAAAAAAAAAAAAAAAAAAAACACGTGCACATCTTTTCACTGTAATTACGACAGTGAATTCCCCTCACTTAACTGCAGGGGGCACCAAAGTCGCAAAAACACACAAAACTACAAGCTTTAAAAATGCTTAAGACTTAGATTGTACATTTCAGCTTTAACTTTATTTCTTGATTCTTTTTTTTTGCCAATTTATTTACTAAATTTGTTGTCACACTAAAAACGGAGCCATTAATAATTATGAAAGACTGTGATTTACAGTTTTGTAAATCTGCTAACTAACGTTGCTAAGCCAGATACCTGATAAAATCTGAGTAATAACATATTTAAAAGGAGTGCTGTCCTATATTATTTGGTCCTGGTTTCACAAAAATAATCCGTTAATAGCAGCCATATTTCTGCATTATAAGCACCTTAAGAACATTCACTTGCATATTACACTCAAGTTTCATTGTAAGTACAAGAAGTGCAGTGTTTGGTTTACTGACACATTATTTTCTGCAATTACCTTAACTGAAATAAGAAGTGCTTGTGCAGAAAGTTTAGAAAACTCTCCACGTAGGTTACAGATCGTGAATAAAGTGAACACGGCTGCATGGACCATAATCTTTTGAGGGCCGTGTTGGTCACAGGAGCGGGATACGGGAGGGCTCCCACAGCTTACGGGCCAGCTGACTGCAGTGCTGAAGAATATATTCATTGGGGATCACACCCAGATGCACAGTAAACAGTTCATAACACTTCACCACCTCATTCTGATGTTTTTTGCTGTAATACCGCAGCAGCCTCCTATCACACCATCAAAATAGACAGAGTAGACATAAAATACATGAATTAAAGAAAGTGCAGCTGGTGTCATGTAGTAGGTTTAGAAATAAGAGTTAGGGTTCCTATCACCTGCACTGTAAAACCTTTTTTTTTTTAAGTTATAAAAATTATTTGAGCATGTTTTACAAGAAAATATTATTTTAGTCTTTCCACTTCAAAATGTAACATTTTACTCAATGTGCTACTTGCCATTGCTTTTTTGTGTAATTTACTAGTCATTTCTGAGTGAAAATCATTTCTATGTGAATTCTTCATTATCCTATGTCATACCTGTAATAATCACAGGTGGGCATTCCTACTGGAGCGGCATCATCTGGGGAGCTGGGTATGTCTATCACTTCCAGTTTGTAACCCTGTCAAAACATTTAAACCTCATCAACACTGACCATGTAATTTTCATTATATATAGTAACTGTAAAAATGACGCAAGCGGCCATTTACCGTTTCATTTTCAAACCACAGGAAGTAACAGTAGAAATAATCTCCATCCCGGAGCGTCATGGTGGCGTAACCCTTTTGCAGGTACCGCTGTGCTGTTGCAACAAGACTCCAAATCTGTGCAGATTCATGATGAGAATGGTATAGAATCAGTAACTAACGAAATTCATGGTGAATTAATTAAATGTTTTTGAAAGACGTCTCTTTCAAAAAGAGACTGCAATTATTTGATTAAAAATACAGTAAAAACGGTAATATTTCAAAATATTATTGCAATTTACAATGAACCATTTTCCATTTTAAGATATTTTAAAATGTAATTTATTCCTGCAACACAAAGCTGAATTTTCAGCATCATTACTCCAGTCTTCAGGGTCACATGATCCTTCAAAAATCGTTCTAATATGCTGATTTCTTTACAATATATATTGCATGATGGGGTATATATATTCTGTATATTATAGCTGCAGGGTTCCCACCATTTCTGACCAATACATTTCCGAAACTTTTCTAACAGGTCTTAATTTATGGAGGATGCTGGGGGTGATTTGCTTTTATTTTATTGGTATGTCAGGTACCAATTCTTAAAATGTTCTGGTACAAAATCTTGAAATTTTAGTGTGCAAATGTCTCTAGTAGGACAAAAAAAAAAGTTTGGGGCAAGTAAACTTTTATTCTTTATTTTAATACTAAATAATAATTTTATTCATCAAGAATGCATTAAATTGACCAAAAGTGACAGTAAATACAAAAAATGTTAAAAAAAAGTTCAAAAATCGTTCTAATATGCTGATTTCTTTACAATATATATTGCATGATGGGGATGGGCTATAAGCACAAAAACACCTTGTTCTTTATGAAGTCAGCTAGAGGCCCCTTTCCGAGCTCAGAGACAGTGCGATCGGTCACATTTAGGGAGGGTGCAATCATCTGACCATTTGAACGATCCACGTAGATAAAGTGGATGAGACCTGGAAACTCTTCCAGGTATGTGAGACCATGGTTAAAGATTCTAACAATGTCACATGACAAAAGAAGAATGATTCAAGACTGAAGTGTGAATGCAACCCATCTAAATAGATCGAAGGGAGGATAGGCAACCAAAATACTCATGGTAGAAAAAAGGATATGATACCATTGTGATATTTCTTTTGCTTTTCACCAGCAGAAAATCCTTCCAGTCCATTAACTTCTCTCTGCAACAAATGTAAGAGAAACGTGATTTAATGTTAAGGCACATTAAAATAAATATCCTTCAGTACTATTGAAGTGCATGTTCAGACATACTGGACCATGCTCAGAGCTCGTTCTTGCAGATGAGGAGCCAATCGCTGACTGCTGCCCATGCACTCAGCTGCAAAAAACTGCCTGTACACTCCACACAACTGAGTCTTCATGTTTTGAAAAGAGGGCAGCAAACTGCAACACAACAAATAAAATGTTAAGACACTTTTGGCTTCATCCAAGATCAAATCAGTGAATTTAGCCTGCAATGAGTTTTGTAGAACAGCACTCACTCTCTTGTGAATCCAGATCCTGATCTGCTAAACGCCTTGTTCTTAAAGTCTGTCCACGCATTTTGAAGTTGGGAGGTCTGAATATATAAATGAAGAGTCGAGTTTTCAAAAAATTCATCAAGAATGCATTAAATTGACCAAAAGTGACAGTAAATACAAAAAATGTTAAAAAAAAGATTTCAAATACAAATAAATGATGTTCTTTGAACTTTATATTTATCAAAAAATCCTGACAAAAAATGTGTCCCAGTTTCCACAAAGATATTAAGAAGCATAACGGTTTTAAACATGACAATAGTAAGAAATGTTTCTTGGGCATCAAATCAGCATATTAGAATGATTTTTGAAGGATCACGTGACACTGAAGACTGGAGTAATGATGCTGAAAATTCAGCTTTGCCTTCATAGGAATAAATTACAGTTTAAAATATATTACAATAGAAAATTGTTATTTAAATTGTAATAATATTTCACAATACCTCTGTATTTTTTATCGAATACATTTTTTTTTTTTAAATCTTACCGATCTTTGAACAGAAGTGTAACTAGAAAAAAGAAAATCGATTCGGCATGGGAATTTCCATGACTTTTATAATTACTTCGTTTTTTTTTATTAATTTATATAATTAAAACTATCTGGAGCATAGTAAAATAACCTTTTCATTTTAATACATGTTTTTTTTAAACAAAAAAAAAAAGGATTAAAAATTAACATTTTACAAAAAAACAGTTTTTAAACAAATTTTTGTTCAGTATTTTTACATTTTATTTTTGAATCAAAAACCTGTTAGGATCAATTATTGGTCCTAACATGCTTTTTCAAAAGTGCTAAATAGATAGAATTATTCAGAATTGAAATATGAAGAAAAACTATTAAACTTTAAATCTCTAATTCTAGCACATTGTAAAGTGGATCTGATGAAGTTCTGTGGAATTGATTCCACTGACCTGAATGTCCATGCTGGCCCAGGTTTTGATGAACTTCTCCAGTCTGCTCCGCTGCTCCTGGACAGAGGGCTGACCCCGCATGGCCGCAGCCCCTTCATGCCCCTCACATAACTTCTTCTCTAACTTCACGAAAGCTTCCAGGAAGTAGCATACAGATGCTGCCACATGACTGTTGGGAATCTGTTGATATGCATGTGTAAATAAAATGGAAAATTGAGCTAGCAACTCCATACATTTATGTAAAACCTACATGATCATGTTAGTCAGCATGATTTGAAAATGATCCAAAGAGCATCTTGTGCTTCAGTAGAAGCAAAAACAGTTTGTCTTTGCTTTAGAGGTCTAATAATGAAAGACTGTCTCCTTGGTAAGCAGCACTAGAGTTATTCCCGGCCAGAGAGGTAGGCAATACATGGAGTGAGGCATCGTGAGAAACTCTTTGGCTTCCAGGAATACTCTGCATGGGGCTGAAGGGTCAAGAGTTGGAGCTTCAAGAGTTTGCAGACTGTCCTCGGCCATCTAAAATCATAAGACCTTTGATATGTGAGAAACTCTTCTATAAATACACATCATACACTATCGTTCCAAAGCTTGAATACGAGTACGATTTATGTTATTGATTTATTGCTTCATTTATTTGATCAAAAATACAGTCCAAAACAGGAATATTGTAAAAAAATATATATATTTTATTTATTTTAAATATTATTTTATTTATTTATATATTATTTATTACAATTTAAAATGTTTGGTTTGAATATATTTTAAAATGTAATTTATTCCTGTGATGCAAAGCTGAATTTTCAGCATAATTGCTCCAATTCAGTGCCACAGGATCCTTCAGAAATCATTCTAATATGCTGATTTGCTGATCAAGAAACATTTCTTCTTATTATTATTATTATTAGCTGAAAAATTTTGTGCTACCTTATCATATTTGATATGGTTAATGTTTATTAAAATGTTTTATATATTTAAACACATTTACTGTATTAGGCTATATAAGTGTGTGTGTATAAATATTATATATATTAAAACAATGTTCATATATTTCTTTCATTTTAATCAATTTTATAGATTAAAGATTTTTTTTTTAGATTATAAGATATTTGAGATTTTTGTGAAAGTACTATTTTATGGAAAAATAATCTAAGCACCACTCAGAATAACTAAATATTTAAATTTTTTCCCCCCGATTTTTATCAGAAATCATTCTAATATGCTGATTTGGTGCTCAATAAACATTTACTCTTCGTTGTGTCATTACTATTTGAAAAGGGTTGTTTTACTTTTTTTCAGGATTCTTTGATGAACAAAAAGTTTGAAGATACTGGCTTACAAACCGCTGAACATAAACAGATCGTATTACAGTGATGGAAAAACAGATAGCTCACCCGAACGTCAGGATCTACAAACTGGAAGACAGGAGGACAGCCACCTCTTTGTCGGACTATGCATTAAAAACATAAAAAACATTCACACATGCAGCTTGTAATTATATAACACCAATCAGTGTTAGAGCATTTCAGTATTTCAGAAAACTGATCTGAATGTCATTGCATTAGATACAAAGTTTATGCATTTTTGTTACCTGATTCCCGTTCAGGAGGAGAGGGCTCAGGTGTGTAGAATACCTCAGGAACTGAACTGCACTCTAACTCCTAAGCATACAGAAAACATTTAAGACCTTAATGAAGAAAAAACAACAACAATTGTGACTATACAGAGATATCAAACCTCCGAAGTGTCATCTAGGTCGATTTTGGTGGGATAGAGATCCTGCACCAGGATGATCAGAGCCAGGAGATCAGAGGGGTATAGATTGCTCACATTTCGACTGCACAAAAAGTAAGAAATCGGAGATCACTTCAAAGTTCTCTGTAGCACAATATTGTCACTTCCTTCTGATGTTGTGGTTAAATCATCATGGTCTCAGTCTGCGTTTGCTGTACCTGGAGTAGAAGGCCAGCCGTTTGGTGTGCACCAGTATGAAAGTGTGTAGCACCTCCTCGCCCATTCTGTCCATGTTGCTGTTGATCTGCTGCACCAGACGACGCTCCAGAAACTCGATGCACTGCTCACAAAGGGTCGGATGAATCAACCTTTCCACCGCCTGAACAGAGGCAGAGAACTTATGGTACATGATCTAAAACTAAAACTAGCATGCAACTAATTATAAAACAGCACTTGCACTAGGGCTGTGTATCACCAGCAAAGTCACGATACGATACGTATCACGATACAGATGCCACGATACGATACAGAGGCCACAGTACGATACGTATCACGATACTGGACTGCACTGAATTTCACCTCAATCTAGTAAAACAGCTGTTTATTAAACACGGCATACTATAGTGCCATTTCTAACTATTGGCAGAGCAGGCAGCTGACCTCTGAATTATGAAGGACGACTCTCTACGTTTAAAAAATAACAATAAAAATTACAAGAGTTCTAAACTAATGCGCTGTCTTCTGTATCTAACGCACACACACGCTCAGTCACTCACACAGATCACGT